TATTTATTATTATTTTTTTTACATTTTGGCTTGGGGGTTCCCCTCAAAATCCATACCAGACCCGAAGGGCTTGGTATGGACGGAGGGGGGAGGGGGCATGCCGCTTTTTTTTTGCAAAATTTTTAAATGCTGGCAATTCTTCCCTTTTTTTTTTTTTTTTTTTTTTTTTTTTTATTCAGCTGTCAATAGGGAACCCCGCTGACAGCTGATGACTCATAGGTTGTTGAGGACATGGCACCCACCCACTCCTTAGCAACCCATGACAGTTACTGACAAATACCAGTACATACCACAGGCCTTGACCACTACATAATTACTGCATACATTTAATTATTTATTTCCTTTTATGAATTGACTGTAAGGTATTTTCATGTGGTATTTACCCAGTGTTTTTTCTATTTTCGGTAAAAACCGCACACTGCAATAGTGAATTGGATGTGATGTGGTCTTGTGATCGACGTAACGCATGCGATAACCTTTAGTGAATTGTGCCTAGTGTTCTTTAGCAAGAAACATACATTCCACATTATTAATTATGCCTCTAGCACTGTTCCTGTATGTTCTTGCTGGAGGCTGACATTTTGTTGAAGCCCAAAGCAGCAGTAAAGCTTTAGGCTGTCAGTAGATCGGCCTCTGCATTTTCGGCAGTGCTAAAATATAGAAAGCAACTGAGCATGTACAGAACCAAGTGTGACAGTGTACCACTGGATTTTAAGCAGTGTAGTAGTTTTTTATTAATGTTTTACATAGCATTACCTGCAGGGGCCAAACTGAAGTGATCTAGCAGGACTTAATTTTCTGACTAAAGTTTCACTTTAAATTAGTCCATGGTTGTTCTGTTTGTTAATATTTTTGTGGTTATGTAATGCAGTAATTTTGACAATAGGTGCCTTTTAAAATCTGCCTACAGTGATATACTACGCCCCAGAATATATATAATCAACATACATCGCCAGTGTCTTAACATTTTTAAATGTCTCTTGTATTTCTCTTATAATTGTGGGTACCAATTTAGTGGAAACTAAGATGAGAAGGTACTCATGAGAGGTCTGTGGTTTGCAGCTATTCAGGATCAGAGCTATGATCATAGGTAAGAACAGTGGGAAACTGTATTCTAAAAATACACAGAAAAGCCCTACATAATATCTGAGAGGTGTACGTCAAAGGTCAATTATGTCAGGCTAAAAAGCACTAATACTGAAGTGCTCACCATGATTTTAACCCACTGCTCAGATTACCAAAGTGATTGATGTGAAACGTGAATGATTGGATTCAGATGTGGTTTAAATGTCACAATATATGTTAGATTTATTCATAAGAATTCAAGAAATGTCCCTGAGAAGAAGGCTACTAAATTTTGGGTAGAAGCTGGAAGCATTTATTGACAGCGACACAATCATTGGAATTGTAATCTTAGCATTACCGTTTTGTGACTTTATATTCACATAAATCCTTTTTTTTTTTCTTTGAAGATACTTCAAATCAGTAATTTGCTTCAAGTGTCCGCGGTTGCCATTTGCTTCACTGTGGGACAGATGTCTTTAATAAGAGGAAAAAAAGAAAGGGCAGTTACTATATAAGCTTATGTTAAATGTACCTGGCCACACTAAACTGATCAAGCTGAGTAAGATGGACTAATGTGAGTGTATGCTTAAGGTAGATAAAACGTGCTTTTCTCCCTTGACCCTGTCATATATATTGTACATGCATACTCGTGCAGTGATAATGGAAATCCCCTCAATTGCACCAGATTGATATCCATCAAATAGACAAGAAGAAAGAAGAATCCCTAATTGATCACAGAAAAATCGACTGTTCACGATTTTGTCCCCACTACTGTACTTTACAATATAGCCATTTAGTGCATCCAGTAGCTGCTATGTTTATGAATTTGTGACTATAAGACCGTAGAGAACTAAACCCAAAACACAGATTTTGGCATCTTACATTTATTATATCTGATCCGGATCTTCTGTTATGTTGGATCAGATCGTCCACTAAAATACTAATTCTCTTGTTTGCGTTTAGTAGTGTACAGCGTGTTTTATTTTGTACTGTTTGTTATTGGCAATTATATAACTTAATTTCCTTTTGCAGTAAGCTCACCATTTCACCATCTAGTACACTTTGATCTTTTGGGGGTTTGGAATAATTGCTAGCAATTCTGGAACGCTTCCACTCATTTTGAGATTGAATTCACAAACGTTTAGTTATTAGTGTAATCTGCAAGTCTACAAGGAAGGCTTTTAGAAAATTCTATTTCAGCACAACTGTCAGCAACTATAGAGGCAGTGAAGGTCACTATGTCACCAATATAAACATTACGTATAGTAATCCGTGTTCATAATTTAATTATCTTGCCAAAAAAGTTCATGTTTAGCAACTAAGGCAGTATCAAACTAAAATTGAATATTTGCCCATTAATAGCATACATTTTTAATACTTTGGAAATTAATTAAACACATATGCGACTAAGTCAGTTATTCTGTACTTGATATTTAACAATTACACTATATTGCCAAAAGTATTGGGGCACCTGCCTTTACATGCACATGAATTTTAATGGAATCCCAGTCTTAGTCTGTAGGGTTCAATATTGAGTTGGCCCACCCTTTGCAGTTATAACAGCTTCAACTCACCTAGGAAGGCTATCCACAAGGTTTAGGAGTGTCTATGGGAATGTTTGACCATTCTTCCAGAAACGCATTTGTGAGGTCAGGCACTGATGTCGGATGAGAAGGCCTGACTCACAGTCTCCGCTCTGATTCATCCCAAAGGTGTTCTTTTGGGTTGAGGTCAGGACTATGTGCAGGTCAGTCGAGTTTTTCCACCCCAAACTCGCTCATCCATGCCTTTTATGGTCCTTGCTTTGTACACTGATGCGCAGTTATGTTGAAACGTTCTCCTGGCAACCTCCAAATCCAGACACATCCATCGGATTGCCAGACAGAGAAGCATGATTCGTCACTCCAGAGAACACGTCTCCACTGCTCTAGAGTCCAGTGGCGGTGTGCTTTACACCACTGCATCCGGCGCTTTGCATTGCACTTGGTGATGTAAGGCTTGGATGCAGCTGCTCGGACATGGAAACCCATTCCATGGAGCTTGCTACGCATTGTTGTGCTATTCTGAAGGCCACACAAAGTTTGGAGGTCTATAGCTATTGACTCTGCAGACAGTTGGAGACTTCTGCACACTGTGCACTTCAGCATGTGCTGACCCCGCTCTACCATTTTACATGGCCTACCACTTTGTGGCTGAGTTGCTGTTGTTACCAGTTGCTTCCACTTTGTTATAATACCACGAAGAGTTGACCGTAGCAATGAAATATCACGGATGGACTGATTGCACAGGTGGCAACCTATCATGGTACCACGCTTGAATTCACTGAGCTCTTGAGAGCGACCCATTCTTTCACAAGTGTTTGTAAAAGAAGCCTGCATGACTAGGTGCTTGATTTTATACACCTCTGGCCATGGAGGTAATTGGAACACCTGAATCCAATGATTTGGAGGGGTGTCCCAATACTTTTGGCAATATAGTGTATATTAATTGGTAGCCCTGTTGTGGGAGTTCTTTACTTTTTTATATTTTCATTTTTTTTGTTCATATATAAAAGTGTAATGCTTTGCAGTTTACCAATCCTTGGATGTGGTTGCTACATTCGTTTTCTTTTTTAGGCATAGGCACCTTTTAACATGGGCGATCAGACAGCCTATTTTTGACCCCTGATGGCACTGATGCCCAATATGTTTTTCCATGTCCACTTACATCCTGACGCCCATAGGGGTTACATGAAATCAGAACATGGAGGAAATATCACAACAGTCACATATGTCATGTTTGTTACTATATTGATCCTACTTTGCAGAGGATCAGTCTAGGATCCCCTGCTGAGCTAGAATAGAGGGTGCCTGTGTGAAAATACAAAAAAGATCTGTTGATCCTGCCGGAATTCCAGTGTCCTTGTAACTTCTTGTGGACAATCTTCTGTGTACTAAAAATGTACTATATAATGATGGGGAACGGGGGAGGATTGTTTTTAGTCCAAATCAGGAGAACAGCCTAGTGTTACAACTCTGCTCCTCCATAGATACTGTACTATGAGTGAACTTTGTAACCGAAAATGTGTTAGTGGCAGGATCACTAGGTGAATATAAAGAGCCTGAAAAAGAAAAAACCATGGAGGTACCTACTGCTGACCTAAACTACAGATAGAGAAATTACATAGAAGTCAGTGTGGAAGTTTTATAATCCCTTTTTGGCTTAGTAAATTTAGTATACCGACAAGGTTGCTTTAAAAACAAACCGAATTGAGAAAGTGTCTTGCCATAAAAATAAATGAGTAAATGCAACTCTGTAGAAATAAATGGGTCTGGAAGGGTGCTTTGCATATTAGCAGTAGGTACAGCAGAAAGATTGGAGCGCCACCAAGTCTTTATAAGTCCAGCAAGCCTTTATTGATCACTGCAACTGTCCCATAAATAGCCCATACATTGTATTGGTTCATCAGTCCCTCTTCACCAGGGCTTATAATGATGAAAGGAGCTTGTATATAAAAACTGGGTAAAAAGTAGATTTCTTGGAGAATTGCTAGAAAGTAGGGTAGGTAAGGAGATATCAAGTAGCCAGTAACCTGGGCAATGCAAATATTGCCAAAAGGAGGGATTACTTTTAAGGGTTCATGAACACAGACTTTATATGCATTTGTACGCCTAGCGTAATTTTCTTCCCCTGGATACACAGAATTCTGTTTTCTCTAAACGCAGCTAAACTGAATGCATCTAAACACTGGTAAATGCACAGTGTGAATTGTACAATTTAAAATCGTTTCTAGACACATTGAAATGTATGTAATGTCCTGTGAACACAGATGTCCTTGCCGTGTGAATGAGGCCTTAGGGTTTACATACACTTTTAATGTTAGTTGTGATATGGTTAGTTTTTATTAATTAAATTGAGAGATGATAAAAATTATCTTCACTCTCTGTTCTATTTAGACTATGCAAGTCCACTTGGGGACATTGTTCCATATACAATAAAAGACACCCGCCAGGATTTTCTTACCGAAACCTTTACATGCGACTGGATGAGGGAAGCCTAACCTTTAACGCTAATCCACAGGAGGTGAGGTGTCCTTTTTCTCATGAGATAAAATAAGGATCTAAATAATAGAAAATTATGATTTATACTAGATAAATGTAGTATTTTGGCCTCCTTTTGGAGAATACAGTACAACTAGCAGTGATATGCTGGGATGCTGAATCCTTTATGTACAAATGTGCGAATTACAGCAAAAAGTAATGTAAACATTACTGTAAAAATGAATTAAAATACACCATAGTTTCCTTTAAAAGAAACATAATGTACATTGTCAGCCATATTAAATCAATGACAAGACACACCTAATCTTGAAAAATGAGTCCGTTTTATGCAAACATTTTTCCAATGAAACTTAGTGTTTCTGCTTGTCTACTGTCTAATTTACATTCCTTTTTGTCTACCAGAGATTGTAAAACAAAATTGTGTAGCTCCACTAGTAAAGGCAAATTTGATTTTATTAGATTTTGTATCAAATGAAACAATACATAGCAAGAAAATAATAAGAACATCTACAATGGTATGGGCAAAAAAACAACATAGGTATCAGTATGATCCATGGGGATGAAGGAAGATGAATCCAAACGTAGATACAAGGGTAGCATCCCTAGACAGGCGATATTCAACAATAATGAGATAATTCCATAAAACCAAGAGAATACACCCAGGCAGAGAGGAAAGAGAGAAAAGGAGAGAAGAAAGAGAAGAAAAAAAAGGGGGTGGGGGAGGAAAAGGGGGAAGGGAGACACCAGATGTAAAGATATTGAAGGAGGAGAGGAAAGCAAAGGAAGAGGGTCGGGAGACGGACACGGTAACAAGTGGAGACATGGTGATCATCCATCATTATCCCATCAGAATGATCCCACCGGTCGCACCCCAAAACAGACCGCAGAGCTACACCGATGAACATGCTAGAATGAAAAAGACTCGGGAGTAGGGCACAACTCCATTAAGGCACCACAGGGGAACACAAATCTCGGCGAGACGAAGAGCAGGAGAAATGGAGCCAGACCGACCACAGCAACTTATGTTTATCGTAGTTATCATTGGCAAATGCCAGCATTTCCTCCATATGCATGGTATCATTAAGTACAAAGACCCACAGTGGAAGAGGCGGGGGCGTAGTCGACTTCCAAAAGAGAGGTATCAATTGGCAGGGTGTGGATAGAAAGAAGCGCAGTAAATTTTTCTTCTGCGCAACCAGCGAGCCCGGTAATTTAGAGAGGAGAGCAATTTCTGGCGAGGGGGCCAAGGACTCACCATAGATCTTGTCATATATAGCAAAGACCTGTCGCCAGAAGGGTTGTATTAGGTCGCAATCCCACCAAATATGGAGCTGTGTACCAACAGCTTTAGTACAGCTCCAGCATAGATTAGATGTAGAAGGAAATATTTTGTGTAGGGAGAGGGGGTCCCTGTACCACGAGAAAGGAGTTTAAAGTTCTTTTCTTGTGAATAACAAGAAATAGACTATTTATGAGTTAAGTGGAACGACGTGGACCAGTCTTCAGCTGAGATATCTTTACCTATATCTCGAGCCCACGCCTTGGTGTAGGCAGGGAGATCGGAAAGAAGAGCATTGTGCAGTACTTTATATAGGGAGGCTAGGACATGTCTAGGCAGATTAGAGAGGGAGCACAGCCGCTCAAACTCAGTAAGTGGACAATGAATGTCGGAAGAAGAGTGTAGGTGTTTGCAAAATGTGCATAAATGTAAAGTGGTCAACCAATAACCTGGTCCGCCCAGAAGGAGCTGAAGACCTGATTGAGGGCAGATAGTCTCGAGCTACGGGCCATAAGGTGCGCGTAAAGGGACCGATGACAGAAGACAGAGGAAGAGCAGGGTTGTCAAATAGGGGTAATAAGGGAGAGGGATCAGATGATAAAAGAGCAACAATGCCCCGTTGATACCACAATCGCAGTACAGCCACAGTCAACGGGGACAGGGCGAGAAAACGCTGGTTGTCTCGACTATAACCCTACGGCAAAGTCCGAAGATCCACCGGAGACAAATCTTGTTCAATCATACAAGAGGCTTTATGGAAGGGCCTGGGAAACCAGTCAAGCATTCCAGGCTAGCAATGGGCTCATGCAGCGGAATGATGTCAGCACCAAAAACTCACCTTTACCAGAGATTGGCTTGCTAAAATGGTCTGGCATTTGGCCATAGTTGCCGAGCTTAAAGGCTACTGCATTAATGCGTGAACACCCCTGTGAGTCCCTGAACTTTTTATCAGAGAGAAATTTTTGTTTCTTGTGATGGATTTCTTTAAAAAACCAATGAATGGTACATTCCTTTACAGGACTGCCATGTAGCACTAGCAATGGAAGTCATTAATCTATACATTGTTACATAAAAGGATTGGCAATCCTTATAACTCTGGTTCAGCTGACTTGAATGGAAGTTTTTCACTTTTATTATTTATGCATATATGCCTTCAGACCTATTCTTAGCTTTTTTTTTTTTGTTTGTTTTTCAGGGCATCGAGTATTTTTTATCAAGAGGTATCCTTGATGATTCACACAAAAAGAAATGGCAAAATTTATATTTTATACCAGAACACTCAACTGGAAGAAACTGAGGATATATCTTGATGAAAGGTAAAGAACAAAATAAAATGATAAAGCAAATATATTCTGTGAATAAATAACAAGGTACAATTTTAAACATTGTTGGTTCCAGTTGAAGATTGCATTTGCTGTATCATAGTAAATAGAGATTTTATTTTTTTTCTGTTTGTTTTATAATGTTCTTTTTATTTAGTATTAAAAACCCTTCATAGGCCAAGTCCACACACAACTGATATTTCAGTTTTAGTATAAGCAGCAAGTTAATAACTCTCTAGCATCTATGTTGAAAGGGTGATTGAAATACCTTAGATTCACAGAAGATAGAAATATCTTGTATTTGGAAGGAGATTCGGTGCACAGACCACATATGTTTGCTTGTATTTCTGAACTGTAACTTGTACTTTTTATTATGCCTTTTTTATAATTTTCTTATTTTTTTTTTTTCTATAGGCGAGATGTATTGGATGATTTGGTGACTCTGCACAACTTCAGCAATCAATTTCTACCAAATGCACTGAGAGACTTTTTTCGACATATACATGCTCCAGAGGAACGTGGGGAATACTTAGAAACACTTATCACTAAGTTTTCTCACAGATTTTGTGCTTGCAATCCTACTCTAGCACGAGACCTTGGCCTTAGCCCTGGTAAGGAGAAAAGAGACAGAAATGATAGCTTGAAAGTCTTTTTAGACGTTGTTCCCTGAGAGGGGTATCTGCTGTACACTAGGAGTGCTTATCCCAAAAGGAAAAAAAAAAAAAACTGTTGCTGTAACAGCTTAAAAAGTGTTAACTGGGGTTAAGCTTTAATTTTTAATCAATTCCATTTACTAGCACGTCTAAAGCTTGCCATATTCTTGTAGATTTTTGGATTTGTACAAACATTCAGTACAGTCTGTGATTTGACAAATGTCATCCGAGTGTACTTCAAACTTTTAAGTTGCTTTTTAACATTCGAATTTGGAACGAAAGGACTTTCCTGTACGAAAACCATATTCACTGTTAACAATTCGTTCATTCGGGAAAAAATTTCCATCCTGCTCCTTCAAAATTTCTTGGTTGCTGTGATCGAAAATGAATGTCAGTTTGACCTCACTAACAAAAAATTGAACAAAAGTTCTTAATTCAAAAAATATCAAAATTCCAATAGCAAGGCCAACAAAAACACCTACCCCCTTCCCAGATTGACAGTGCTGCTGTCCAAAAGTCTCTATTGCTCATCTAGTGGAGTGGAGACACCCTAAGACAGGAAGTGTGTTACTGGTGGATCACCAGGTCAAAATAAGGGGGAAATATATGCAATATATCACATTTTTGTTATTGGTGTTAATACTGCTTTAAAGTGAAATTTGTGTGCCCAGAGTTGAAAACAAAAACCTTTCTATGTGACTACTACAGATGAAACTATAATATACTCCATGTATAATCAGAAGATACCTGAACTGATTGAAGGAAAGGCTGCAGTAAAATAAAATACAAAGTTGTATTTTCCCAGAAAAGTATAAAAGGTTTAAAGGTATTTAAGAACCAGACATATCCCACTAAAAGTTCAAATGGTATTACTGCATTGTAAGCCAAATCTTTCATTTATGGGGCATAAACATCTAAGAGATCTGGGGTATTTGATTATTTGAAATTGATTTATAAACATGACATTCTGCCATGTGCAGTCCTTTCAACTCTGTTTCCTTTAAGGCACCAGATGAACTTAGGTTGTAACTTAGTCCATCCTTATAGGTATACAACATACTTTCAAAGAATTAGTGCTGAAGCAGATATCCATGGTTGTATAGAAATATTAAAATAATGGGTTCATTATAACAAAGGTTGACAAGTTCAGAAGAACATAAGCATTTTCCATGCAAAGGACATATCTATTCAAACATACCGTATATTCCACATTGCAAATTCACTTTTTATTGCAGTTTAACTTCTTCAGGACTGCCTACTACAGATTTACTGTTTTTTTTTTGCGACCCTCTACGCTGGACCACATACATGTATGTGCTCTAGCATTTCTGGGTATTGGGTACATGTGTGCGCCTGCCATCCGTCCTGTGCTGTTATTCGCTACAGCACAAGCCAATCAGCAGGTCTCGGCCAATGATTTATGGACGGGATCTGTTGATTAGCTTAGTGAATCAAAGTTCAGATACCTGTGTTTACGAACAGCACAGGGCTCTGAACAGGGAGCAAAGATGTGCTTGTTTTTTCTTCCCCGCAAAGCAGGGAGAAAAAAAATCACATTGTTTAGTAAAAACAGCACACATTACACGTTAGGCACATAGTTAATCCATTGATTGCACCTAGATGTTAACCCCTTCCAAGCCATTCTCATTAGTACAGTGATTGTGTATAGTGTTAGCATTGATCACTGTAATTGTGGCACTGGGGGTGTCAGTCAGTTCCTGCCCAGTGTCCATGTCAGATTGCCTGCTGCACTATCACAGTCCTACTAGAAATTACTGATTACTGCCATTACTAGTATAAAAAATAAATAAATAAAAAATCCAGTGTATATACCATCCTTTGTAGACACTATAACTTTCACACAAACCAATCAATATACACTTCCTAGGATTTTATTTTACCAAAGACATATAGCAGAATACATTTTGGCCTAAATTTGTGAATAATTTTTTTAAACATTTTTTACTGGATATATTTTATAGCAGAAAGTAAAAAAAAAAGTTTTCAAAATTTTCGGTCTATTCATTTATATAATAATAATATGAATTCATACGTGATCAAATGCCACTAAAAAAAACTCTATTTGTGTGAAAGAATGATATAAATTTCATTTGAGTACAATGTTGCATGACTGCATAATTGCTGGTTAAAGTGTTACTAAACCCAGGACCCTGCATTCATGCTATCTGGTGTCCCATAGTACAGAGAACATGGAAATTAAATTATTTTTGTAAATATAAACTAAATCCCTTTTTTTTCAACAGCAGTTACAGCAGTCTTGAGACTTATATCAGTGTCTAACAGAGCACATGTTAAGCTTGTAGGAGTTTTAATTCTGCTCTAGGAAGATGCAGACCCTTGACCTCTGTCTGGACAGTGTTGATTGGCCCTGTGCTGATCATATGCACTCTCTCAAGAAAAAAGAAAAACCTCTCTAGCAATACACACCAAACTGAGCATGTTGAGAGTGACTCCACACAATATGTCTTATCAGGAGATGCAGTGAAGGAAATAAGTATTTGATCCCCTGATGATTTTGAATGTTTTTCCACTCACAAAGAAATGATCAGTCTAAAAATCGAATGGCAGGTGTATTGTAACACTGAGAGACAAAATAGCAACAAAAAATTCAAAAGAAATGTATGTCTAACAAATAATGCACTGATTTGCATGTTCATGAGGGAAATAAATATTTTATCCGCTATCATTCTGCAGGATTTCTGGCTACCAGGTGTCTTTCATACAGGTAACAAGCTGAGATTAGAAGCAGTCTCTAAAGGGAGTGCTGCTAATCTCATTTTGTTACCTGTATAAAAGACACCTGTCCACAGGCGCAATCAGATTCCAAACTCTCCACCATGGCAAAGACCAAAGAGCTGCCCAAGGTTGTCGGGGACAAGATTGTAGACCTACACAAGGCTGGACTGGGCTACTAAACTATCGCCAAGCAGCTTTGTGAGAAGGTGACAACAGTTGGTGAAATCATTTGCAAATAGAAGAAACACAAAACAACTGTCAGTCTCCCTAGGTCCGGTGCACCATGTAAAATCTCACCTCATGGAATATCAATGATCCTGAGAACAGTGAGGAATCATCCCAGAACTACATGTGAGGATCTTGTCAGGCAGCTAGGACCACAGTCACCAAGAAAACAATTGGTAGCACACTATGCCGAGAAGGATTGAAATCCTGCAATGCCTGCAAGGTCCCTCTGCTCAAGAAAAGGGGCGAAGTACGGGGTGATGTGCCGTCAAATCTTGAGTGAGAACCTTCTTCCCTTAGCCAAGGCATTGAAAATGGTTGTGGATGGGTGTTTTCAGCTTGACAATGACCCAAAACACATGGCCAAGGCAACATAGGAGTGGCTCAAGAAGGAGCACATTAAGGTCCTGAAGTGGCCTAGCCAGTCTCCAGACTTTAATCCAATTGAAAATCTGTGGAGGGAGCTGAAAGTTCGAATTGCCAAACATCAGCCAAAAAACCTTAATGACTTGGAGAGGATCTGTCAAGAGGAGTGGGCGAGAATCCCTCAGGTGTGTGCAAACCTGGTGGCCAACTACAGGAAACGTCTGACCTCTGCGATTGCCAACAAGGGATTTGCCACCAAGTACTAAGTCATGTTTTATGAAGGGGATCAAATAATTATTTCCCTCATGAACATGCAAATCGGTGCATAATTTGTTAGACATGCATTTCTTTTGAACTTTTTGTTGCTATTCTGTCTCTCAGTGTTATAATACACCTACCAGTCGATTTTTAGACTGATCATTTCTTTGTGAGTGGGCAAACATTCAAATCAGCAGGGGATCAAATACTTATTTACTTCACTGTAAGAGGGGGACACTGGAAGAAGGGGAGGATCAGAAAAGTCAGGGTCAAACAGCCTATTTACAGAATGCAGGAGATTAATCCTTTAGGTTCCACAGTGAGTATATCAAGCATGCTTTACTGCATATACAGATTGATTTTACTGGGTTTAGTAACATTTTAAAGTATCGCAGTGCAGAATAGCAAAAAAAAAATGCCATGGTGATGAAGGGGGTAAAACCTTCAGGAGCTGAAGTGGTTAAAAAAAAAAAAAAAAAAAACCTCAATGTAAGTGACAGATTTAAAATTGTTCCACACTTTGAGTTTGGAAGATATAAGACACCCTTAGGGCTGGTTCACACTATAGAAATGCAGTCTGGATGTGCTTCTGCATGCACATTTTGTACATGTTCTAGATGCTTTTTTTTTCCTCCTTTTTTTGGGTCATTTGGGGTCCCGTGTGTTTTTGATACATTTTTATTGCGTTTTAACCACATTCTAGTGCATTTTGTTGCATTTTACTGCTTTCCGGTGCATTTTTGATGCGCTTTACCAGCTTCCAGTACAGTTCTGTGCAGGAAAAATGCAGTATGTTGTGTTTTTTTTTTTTTTTTTTTTTTTAACTGGAACTGCAAGCACTGGTGTGAACCATAACATTGACAACCATGTAACCTACTTTATGACCATTTTGAAATCAGAAAAAAAACGCATGTGGTGTGAACATTCTGTAGCTGAAAACGATACAGCTGGTAAAAAGTATAGACATTTTAGTTGAGGTTAACTCATAAAATCTGGAAAAGTGTGATTAAAAATGTGGCACATAAAAGATACAGAGCTTTAATGGGTCAGTTTTTTTTTTGTCATGCCAAAAGCAATGAGAAAGAATAATGGAATACGTTAAATAATCAATTTGTGATAATTACAGACCCTGGTAGGGAAATAGTCCTATTTTTCAGATATACAATGTGTATTCTATTCTGAGACTGTAAACAGACTTCCTGATGCGCATATAGGGGTCATAACCAGCGGGTGCAGTAGTCCTGCTTTAAAGCCAATCAATGCGCTGAACAGTGTTTACAGAAGAGGCTGGTGAAAGGAAGCAATGCAGTAGAACATGTTTCTTCAACTAGTGCGCTATGGCTCACTGATTT